GGGGGCTGGGGGGGGGGTGTCTTGGAGCCTTGAGATGCAGCGGGGCTGTGAGCTGGAGGGGGGGCGCCGATGGGGCTGGAAAGTGGAAGCGGGCACGGTCAGGGGCAGGCTGTCACCGCCAGACAAAGGCGGTCTGGCGGACAAGGCTGGCGGTCCTGGGGACGGAGGACAATGGGGGTGCAGAGATGGGACACGGCTAAGGGGCGGCAGGAGGCTGGACGTCCTCGCGACCGGAGGTACCTTTTCCTGGGGGCGTCCGTCCGCCCGCCCGCCCGCTCGCCAGCCAGGCGGCGAGGGAACCAGCAACGAGGGAGTCCGGGGGTGGTGGGGGTGTCAGCCCCTCGCTCCCTCACGCACTCCCCCCCCCTTGCACCGGCTGCCTCTTCTTCTGCAAAGGGAACCACGAAGCCAGAAGAAGGTATCCAGGGCTAAGCGCCGACGACCGGCCTCCCGGTGCTCCCATTGGCTGGAAAGATTCCAAGCCTTTTCGTGATTGGTAAGGACGCTCAACCTCCCCGCTCCGTAAGTATGAAAAAACACTGGAGGGGTGCGCGGGGAGGCGACCGCGGGGTGAGGCGGCGGGTTTTGCTTAGCCGGCTGGTTCTGAGATGATCCCCTGGCAGAGGGAGGCTTGGAGCTCGGCGTCGGTTCCCAAGCTGAGCCTTATACTGTAATGGTCTACCCTGGCTATTGTCAGGGGCGTGAACTTTATTGTTTATTTATTTAAATATTTTTTCACCTCATCTTTCTCCTTAAGAAGGACCCAAGGCGGTTTACATCATTAAAAGACAACATTACAAGCTAAAAACAATTAAGTGTGCAACTACTTAAAAAGGGCAAACAGATACTAGGACTAAAAGACAGTAAACAAAAGCAACAGCAAAAACGCTGTGAAAGCAGTCAGGCACAAACCCTCCATTTTGAGAAGAAAAAAAAACCTCAGGCTCCTAGTCCCAAGGGGAAGCTTGCCTAAAGTGAACCCTCTTTGTCTGTTTGCAGAAGGACAGCAAAGAGGGGGCCAGACTGGTTGCCTGTGGGAGGGATTCATTCCAAAGTCTGGGGGCAGCAACAGAGAACCTGTTTGCAGAAGGACAACAAAAAGGGGGCCAGACTGGCTGCCTGTGGGAGGGAATTCATTCCAAATTCTGGGGGCAGCAACAGAGAAGGCCCTGCCTCTATATCGCACGGTACAGGTGTTAATTGGCTTTCCAAAAGGCAGCAGTGGCCTGATGAATGGCTAATATCTTATAATGTCATTGTCATAAAGGCTGTTTTTTTGCATTCAATTTGCCTCTGAAAGTCTAACTACACAGGAAAAAAACACATGGGAAATGCCTGTGCCATGGGTTTGGGAAGGGCTGAATTGCATTTTCCCCCCATTTATCACATGATGGAACAGGAAATGTGAATCAGCCAGGAGTCCCACAGCCCGAGTCTATAGTTTATCCCACCTCATGCCATAGAACCCTCTACTTTTAAAAAGATGAATCCTTTTGCTTTGGCTCAAAGGGTATGATCATTTTAAGTAAAGACTAACAGAGCACATCCACACACAGAGAGAAACAGTGTGATGCTTTGGCAAAGCACCTTCCATCTCATTTCTTGCCTCATGATGAGGGAGGATGAGACAGACAGACAGACATGCGCCCAACACTCTAAAAACACCTTTTAACAGCTCCTCAGAGCTGCTGTTTGTTTTGTTTGTTTTATAACTTAATGAGTTTCAGCTGTCAATATAAAATGAGGCAATGAGTGATTTAGGAAAGCTTTAAGGCCACTGCAAGCTCCGCTTGGTTTTTGTGTCTTCTCCCACTGTTCACGCAGCACTTACAACAGAACTGCAATTAGAAGCTGCTTTTTTCTCTCCTCTGCAAACCGAATGTCTCTGCGCCTCTTCACAGCAAGAAAATGTAAGTTAATTCACATTTCCCTCACTGTATAGCCACTGCCTGATTCCACTTTCTAGAAACCTTGCACCTTGTCTTTGTATTTAATAACCCCTGACCTTCATCCCCCCCAAAAGAACTTGACTTGTACATTTGATTACTATGAGTTACACTCCCCCAGAAGCTCATACCAGAATGCCTGAAATCTAGTAGTTGCAACTAGAGTTGGCCCATTGAATCAGTGTGGAAGTGGTGGGCCAATCCTCTGCAAGTTCCATTAACTCAAGTAGGCCTACTCTAGCTGTGACTGACTAGATCATCTCTCCACCTATGAGCCTTCTTTGATCAGCATCAAAGGAGGCACTCCTTTTGGTCCTATTATCTGTGCAGGCACATTTGATGGGGACACAAGAGAGGGCCTCTCTTATGGCTGCTCCCAGGTAGTGGGATACTTTCCCTCGGGAGTTAAGTTGCTCCCTTTTATTCTTCTGCCAATATTTGAAGATCCACATCTTCAGGCAGGTTTTTAACAATCATAACCATCCCAGTTGGGGGGGGAGAGCTCTTTGTTTTAATTTTATTTGTGTATAATTATTGTATTTTATTTGTTTGTTTGTTGTTCTTTTGTTTCTTACAATATATTTTCATTTAATAAAATAAAGATTAGAAAAAATCATAACCGAGCTACTGACTGTTGTTTTTTAGTTGAGTGTTTTAAGCAGCGATGGCGAACCTATGGCACGCGTGCTACAGCTGGCATGCAGAGCCCTCTCTGTAGGCATGCGAGCCATAGGTCACCATTGAGAAATACTTACCCATCCTCCGATCCCAGATTTCAGCACTCCCCTCTGCTGGTGCAGTGGTCCAGTGGAGGGGTGCAATGGTGGCCATTACTGGTCTAGCCTGACAGGGGAATTGGAGAACCGGTAAGTATTTCTCTGTTAATACCATCCCCTAGGGGAAAAAAACAACAAGCATTTAACCCTTGCAGCGCAGGGACAGTTGTTTTTTTCTAGGATAAATTTGCAGTTAAGATTAATTAAGCACCATCTCCACGTCATAAATTCACTCAGGCCAAGTTTGTTTCAGTGGTTCAGCACCACTATGACTTTTGTTTGTATTTGTTTCAGCACTCGCATAACACCAACAAGCATATTTTTCTCAGTGTGGCAATAAGTGAGAAATACTCAGTACTATTTGCTTCATTCCAAAATGGGAGCTGGTACATTTCATTTTTAAGCAAAGCCATAAATCAATTTAAATCATAAGATGCCCTAAAACAGGGATGGGAGAATGTGTGACTGTGAGGGTTCGACTTTAGGCTCTAAATTCAATCCAAAGAAATCAGCAGATCCATGTTGTTTCAAAACAGGCGTGGGATTTATTGGAGGATTAAACAGTAAACAAGTATCTGGAACATGATTGTGAGTCTTTTCTCCTCCTGCCAATCGGTCCGGAAGGGGCTTCCGTTCGTTAAACAAGAATGGGTTTTTGTAACTATAGTCCCAGCGTCCCTGGAGATCATTGGAGACCCAGTCCTTTACTGTCTGCCTCATCACACCTTCCAGCAAGGGCACGGTCTCCTCATCCAGATCATCCCACAAGATCCGTCCATCAGGGTCTTGATTCTCCCAGGGTCTTCCCTTCTCTTCGTTTCTCTCACTCTCCATTCTAATCTTTCTCTCTCTACTCGTTCCCTTAGTCTATTTCTCCACTCCCTCGCTTTTGTTTCACCCCAATAAGAGGGTTTAGGGGAAATCTCTACTCTTCTCCTGTAATCTGCCTCCTCCTTTGGCACTCTTAATCTCTCCCATAATCCTCTCCACGGATCCTGCATCCACACCCACTCCCATCCAGGCGGTAACTGTCCTTCCCTCCTTTCTACTTCCCCCACTCCTGCTACAAACTCCACCCTTTTCTTTCTTTCCTTTCCCACCTTGTCTCCCTGAACTTCCCCTATCGTCACTTTCTGTACATCTTCCATCAGCTCCTCTATCACCGTCTCCCACGGAGGCTCCACCAAAGGGTTGGGTATGGTTTTGGGGTCCACCTCCCCATCCCTGCTGTTGAGGAGGGACGGCTCTCCAGTGAGTGGGGTATCCCTCTCAGTCTCACAGCGACCCTGTAGATTAGCAATGGGCAAAGTCCAGCTCTCGTGTTGTATGATATTTCCAGCATTCCTCACAAACGGCTTGTGCTAAGTAAGATTGAAGGGAGCTGTAGGCCCCTCTCTTACATGACCCATTTCTGTTCCTTCAACAGTTACTGCAAAACAGATATTTTTATGTAATCCTGTATGTGTCAAACAGTAAATTTTAGTGGGTTCCACGAGATTTTCTCCCATGAAAGCAGTTACAAAACTACAGTGTCAAGCTTAGTTTCATATTTAGCTGAGATCCAGCCATACCGTATCCAACAGGGCTTGCATCTTACATACAAGTTCATGTGAGTACAGAAATTTGATGCATGTTAACATCTATGGTCAACATCCTACAGAGCTTCCTCAGAATGGAAACTCCCACCAGTGCAGTAACGCAGGGCTGTGCTGCTTGTGCACAGCCAGTGTACAGAAAGCAGGCTTTCATGAATGGCACAATCCAGTTTTACTTGGTGGTGCAGCCGGGTACCCCTGCCGCAATTCCCTCCTTGAAACAGCTATGAGAGCAGCAAGGAGCCCTGTCTAATTCTACACCAAGCCACCCTCTATCTTGGTGTTACATTTGCCAAAAGAGATGCTTGTGGGGAGGCTCACAGAAGTCTTGAAGTACAGAAAATGCATTCATACCCGGACTTCGGAAATCATGAGCCACCTTAATCTTAGGACTGCAGGGTTGGAAGGGACCCTATATAGATCATGGAGTGCCGCCCCTATGAAGGAGGCACAATAAGGAAATGAACTTTCAACCTATGGCTCCACAGCCAGATATCTAAACCACTGCAATCTGATCCAAGGAAGTGCAACACGACATGATTTAGAAATTGAACGGATCCAGGAAACAAGATATGAAAAACAAGAGACTGTTAAAAGAGCAGGTGTTGTACAGGTCTTTATGGCTTTCAGAGCCATTCTTGTTCATAATTTTACTGCAGATTGCATGGCAGCTGACATTCTGCATCTTAGTAGCTGTTCTACAGTCCAAAGGTGCAGAGACATGGGCACAGAGTGCTTTATCCCATTGCTTGCTAGAAGCTCCACAGCTTACCAAGGTATTTTAAAATGTACTCAGCAAGGGTGGATCCATAATGTCTTTGAACAGTATAAAGGAATGCCAAAATCTGTGATGAATGATCCTGAATGTGCATTCTTGATTAAGGATGCCAGAGCTGTGTAGGGCAATTGCTTTGTGATGGTGTCTAAATCTATACTGATAAGGTTTTTGGAGTTGATCTGAATGATATTTTAATGTCCCTTACATCCCAGCTGCTCTGACAAAGAAGAGATTCAGTGTCTCTTCCCACTCCATAATTCTGTAAATATCCCAGTCTATAGAGCTAT